TTTTTTTTTTTTTTTTTTGCGTCATTTTAAGTGTTAAGACATAATACTGTTTGGGTTACTTATGTAGGTGTACATATTTTTTAAATATGATTTTAAACAGAATATGAATTGAGATGCAGGAAAGGACATTGTGATGTTTTAAAGAATAGTGTTGGAGATTTAGCAACCCTTTAATGTTCTCATATTTATGCAAAACATTTGAAGTTCTAAAGCAGTTGTTTCTGTGAAAAAGACGTAATAGTGTCATTAGAAACTGAATTGGAAATGGTGTTATTTTAAAATTGCCAGTCGTGAAGGGAGGTGGGCCGGTCTAAGGCTTGAAACACCAGGGCTAAAAAGGAATGCCACTCCGGCCCTGTTTATAATAGTCCAAATTAAATAACAGTAGAATAGGTTTAAGAACAAATTCATGTATGCAACTGTCGTGGAATCTGAATGAACAATCTGCAATTGGTAAATGTAAATTTAGCTAAAATGCCTTGCAATGCATCACAGCTAAAATAAATGAAACTGAGCTGCACTGCTGCTTCAATACTGGTGAGATCTACTGGGCTCTGCACACTTTGGATTAGCTTTCTTCAGAGGCTGACAACTGAATTAATAAAAGTTAATCAAGCTAATCGGTTGTCAAGCTTGTCCTTGAGGATAAAGACTCATAACAGTCAGTCACTTAACTTTGTTGTAGCCAACAAAATATGCTTGGTGATCCATGAGCTGAAAGATTAGCCTGCAGGCAAGTAAACACACAAACTATCATTATGTTAGTAAAAAGCCATTGAAAGGTAGCCATGTTTAGCCACAGAAACATAAAATTTTATTATGGTGGATGTTTTACAACTGCCCGATTTTTTTGAATGGCTCATAAAAGCATAACATTGAGTTAAAATTGTGCCACATTTATATTGCACAGAGACTTTTTTATACCAATACACTCTACAGTACACTGTAAAGATTATACAGTATAAGCAAAAGTAAGCATGTCACCCAAGGGCAACACTCTTTATTTGACCAAAGCACTTTCTTTGATCTGTGATTGACTGCAGTTTTCTTCCCAGATTGCATTTGTGTTAGTTCTGACCCCAGTATGTCGAGGCTACAGCCTGCACACAGAGCTCTAGCACACTGAGTATGAGAGTATGTCAGCGGGTTCCTAGTCTAGGCATCTGCTGTTGGCTCTAAAATCCCCTCAAATAGCATATTTCTGCAGCTGTTAGTGGCACTCGTACAGCATAGAGATGCTTTAGTGTTATACAGTCCATTCCTGCTCTAAATAGTGCCTTTATCATTGCCACTTAGCCACTTTGACGCACAAACAGCGTAACGTGTTTTTAAAAAGGATGTTGATGGTGTTTTAGCCCATGCCACACAGTTACTTTGGCCGGAAAAGGAAAGTGAATAGAGTCTTTGGTTTAAATCACAGCTAGCATTTGGTGGTTTGCCTAAAGAATGGTTACTTAAACATGTAATTTAGCTGTTAATTTACTCACCCTCAGGCCATTCAAGATGTACTGTAGATGACTACTTCTGCTGCAGAACATTGAAGATGAATCTGTGGAATTTGGTTATGGAAGTTAATGCATACAGGAAAAAGAATATTAAAGGGATAGTTCACCTAAAGCTGAAAATGCTATTAATATTTATTCATCAATCACTCTTCACAAACTTGAGTCAAAATAGTCACCAGAGTTTTGTTTCTAACCGTCTGAATCAAACAAAATCAACATATTTTCAGGTTGACCAAGCTAATGTGCACTCAAAAGGAACGAGATCATGACACCAACATCATTTATGGATGTTCACATATTGGCTGCACCCGAAATCGCATACTACCATAGTATATAGTACACCAGCTGAGTAGTATATCTCAATTTATAGAATTCGAACAGTATGCAAGTACCTGATGACTTAATACTTCTGGCAAGATTCTGAAGTGCGCATCTGATGCACTCTACTATATCCCATGTGAGAGAGAATTCATGAATGGGAGTGAATCAACGCCACTGACGCGTATAGGTCATCAGGTGATCATGACAAAATTACGGATGTGGTATGTTCGAGTTCCATACCGCTCACATTCATACTTTAAAGAATGTACTTTTTTTTTCTTAACAATCAAGTAGTACATTTTAAATTCAAATACAGTTCTTGATATTGTATGATTATTTCAATAGACAATACAGCACCATTTTTATTCAATAGAGTAGTAGGCGATTTTAGACACAGCCATTATCATCCTCTGGATAAAGCTTTGTCTGATTGCGCTGTTCTTCTGAAGTAACCCACAACTTAAGACTTTATGACGATTCTCCTACAGAAATGACAGCGACTCTTTGTTTACAAGTTTGTGGGTGTTTTAGTAATTGCTGTCATGTGATTTGCATTTGACAGGACAGACTGTACCTCGCGTACATTTCATAAAGATTACAAAACCAAAACACTTTGTATTCGTGCACTTGGTGCATTTAAAAGTACAGATGTCAAGATTTATTTGGATATATTTTCTGTCTGTGAAGCAAGTATTCCTGTGTGTTTGTTGAGCTTTCCCCTCGGAGAAACGTCAGTCTATAGTGATTGATGATTGGCTCCTGTACTAGTAGGTGGGGCTTCATTCACAATATTGACATTACACTTTTCCCTATTCAAAACTATATGTAACTTGCCTTGTGTGTTCTATAGAAGAATTACCAACCTATGTCACACATGACGTCACACAAGTTCAACCGCGCAAACCGGATGAAAAAAAAAAAAAACAGGTTGCAATAGCAAACATGTTGTGTTGACCGGTAGGATGCCAAAATCGAAAGTCCAAAAAGAGAAAACTTACATTTTACTGTACACCACACTGCTTTTAATGTCAACCGCAGATGTCTTTGGCTTACAGCCATCAGAAGAGCTAAATGGAGTGAGGACCTAATTAAAAATGCTCAACTCTGCAGTTCACGCTATGCTGAATCATACACATTACTCGTTATTGATTGCAGCAATGATTTCAGCAAAAACAGTTAAATAAGATGTATTATATATGCTTAGAATGAAGTGTAAAAAATGTAAGTTCACATACCCTGTCATACGGGTGCAGTTCGCTGTCAGAATGCAGTTGTATTGCTTGTTAATGAATACCCAGGCCTTGTACAGTTCCGTCTTCTTTTCGGCTAGGCAGAACCTCAGTTTTTGGCACTACATAGTTTTGAATCTGGTAATCATGGAACATTATTTCTTGCATATGACCACACAGAACAAAATTGTATAGGCATCCAAAGACATGTAGGCCTTTAACTTCTCTTGTAAAATCACTTCAACGAGATAGTTGTATATTTCGGGCTGGATGCTTGGCCATTTTGTCTCAACCATTTCCATTGGAAGGGTGGTATCACAAATAGACTCGTCAGGCGAACGCCTCTCCTTTTAATGTTAATTTTGCCGAATAACTGTGCTTATCACTGGGTGACAAACTGTTATAATACAATGAAAGCATTATGTAAATTAATATAAGTTATCTCTAATACAACAACAAACTATGTACTGCATCGGATGCCATTCCTCGCTGTAAATGCTAGTGCTCCTGTTTTTTTTCTGCAACCTCGATGCACATGCATCCTGAATGTTTTCAAACCGGTTATTCACTTATAGTCTTTGTTTAGAGTTTCTTACTTTCGTGTCAACTCAAAATAAGATATTTTTAAAATTTTCAATATTTATATTTCCTAGTATGATAGTCAATTGTTACAGGTTTGTAACAATTTTGAATATGACTTATTTTGTGTTCATAACGATTTAAAAGCACGTGATTGTGAGTAAACAGTAACTTTTCATTTCTGGGTAAACTATGCCTTTAATACAAATGGCTTCTGACAATAAACTGAGGTCTTATGAATCACAGTTCTCTGCAAGAAACAGAAAACATTATTTACAACATTACCTTTATTCTATAGCCTAGTGAAATGCTCCAGAGTTCCAAACTCCAGCCAGAATGAAAACATACCTGAAATATAATACAATTCCACTCAGCCAACTTCAGCGTAACACAACATGGTCCATTACGTGTTCCACACCATACTGCTGGCAATCTCCTTTCTTCAGTTCCAAACTCCTATAAATTATTTGGCTTCAGCCTTCAGAAGCATCAAAAATTGCTAGCTGCTTGCTGGATGGAAGTGTACGTTGAATGTAAAGATCGGATCTCGTGCTCCTCATACAAAAGCCTTCTTTCAGGATTTAATATTTTACTCCTCTGCAGACCATTGTTTTTAGTGATATTTGAAAATCAACAGTTTTTAGTGTTGAAATTAACACTTTCTTTATGAAATAGCAGCTGTTTGTGGAAGCAGAATATGGAATAAATGCGAACGGCTAGACAACCAAGTTCCTGTGCAAATTGAATTCACTGTGACTGACGCACAAAGTGAAAACAATTAGTATCTAATATAGCATCCGCTACGCATCGTTGTCCCCCATGTCACCACCTTAGCTTCATTCATGCCAACAACCTGACAGTTCAAAACCTTAAAACCAAAATGCCGGGTATAATATACAATAAACGTCGTCTTGCAGAAATAATAATTGTATTGCATCAGAAACCTACTGCCTCAGAAGCTTTGATGTGCCCTCGTGTTAGCGCATATGGAGGAAACTTCAATGAGGAAGCACCATCATGTCCTCCAGTACTACAGTGCCCTCTGCTGTTCACTGCTCAACACCTGCAGGGACTATAAAATTTAATAACCGGTGTCATTAATATTAATGAGTATTGAAAAATTCATTAAAACGGAACAATAACAGGACTATATGTTAGTAATATAGCTTACTGACTTCAACTGTTAAAATGCTTTAGGGAGCTGGTGTTTGGGATAACAACAAGGCAGCCCAATGAAACGTGCAACAGCTTGTAGTCTTTGTACATTTTAAAAAAATGTAATAATTCAACAATTGTTTGCAAGGCTTTTATCACAAGAAACAAAACATGACAGGCTGATCAATGATTAGAAGTACGAGATTACATGTCATGATTTTGAACAAACTAACTTTAATAGGAGTAAAGCAACGTGAACACATAACAATTGTCTTATAAATCAACTGAAAAAAGAGAACAGTACATTTTGATGAACACTTTATTCCTTATGTAATCATGTAATGATTACCACTTAATTGAACTAACGGTTTAGATGAGTGCTCCCCCACATCTTTAAATCGAACACAAAGAAATAAAAAAAATGTGGTCATGTCTAAAGTGCCTGTTGTTACATAAAACACAGACCAACTATAAAGTGCATGATTATAAAATGCATAGGGGATAATGTCTGGGGGAAGTGGCTGAGACTATGACCTTTCATAGTTTAAGTCAGACCATAGAGTATATGCTGATGTCTTTGACATATATAACTGTTTTATTCCACAGTCATGGCCATACATAAAAAAACTACACTCACCCAGAAACACAAGGCAGTGGCTCCTACTGTATAAACCATTTTCTCTTTTATTAAAGATCATATTTGTATTCACTTTGAAACCTGTGACCTCTATTACAGTAACAAAATGACAAATTTTACACAACACACTTTAATAAATCAAAGTAGCAATAAAGCCACGGTAACCCATTACCATAATTTAAGTGATATCCTAAATACGCAGTGTTAGCTTAAGTCATTTGAAACTGTATGTATGCAGTGAAAGACACCATTTAGTGAACAATTAAAACATTTTAAATCTTTTAAATATTATTTTTTTATCGGATTAACAATAGAAAACCACTGCCCTGCAGAGGTCATATATTTCTTATTTATTGATTTATTTTGGTATTTATTTATTTATTTATTTATTTTTAAATATAGAAATCTCTTAATCAGCATAAATTTGCATCTCAGGCCTGAGCTCTGTCTGGTGAAATCCTGCGTGGCCCACAGCTGTGGAATACAGTCTGTTACTATAAAGCGGCATGCAGCCGTAGTTTGGGAAAACACCAGAACTTGCTCGGCTACTCTTAGGAACTTTCGGATGTGCTGAAACATAGCTTTCAGAATAGTCTGAGCGAGATGGCACATACATACTACGAGTTCTTGTCCTGCTATGGGAGGAGAAAGGCAGTCTGTGATCCCGCTCCAGAGTCATTTTGGCTTGACCAGGTGGATTGCGATTTTTTACACTCTGCGATCTCTTAGACCTCTGCGGTTCTCTGCTCATTGCCTGAATGTACTGGTAGTCCTCTTTAGGATTGCTGAGAGTCTTATATATAAGCCTGTCCTGGTTGCGGTGTGTGACACCGAAGCTATCGCTGGACCCGGTGTGTTTGAAGTCAGGGCAGCTGTATTCCTTATGCAGGGTCAGATTGTGTGGCAGTGCTGTGGACTCAAGCCTGTGTTGAGGATAGTTGTGCATGGACCGACTCTGCTTCATTATAAGAGCCGATTTGGCTCCCTGCCCGCTGTCATGCCTGTCTGACTTTGAGGGCACAGGCATATCAGGCTCAGAAAGTGGGTGCTCTGGGGAGTAATGGGATACCATCGTGACCCTGTATTTCCCATCAGCCCCTTCAGTTGAAATCAGCATCTCCTTCCCAGAGTTTGACCTGCTCCTGGTGTGCATTGTTTCTTGGCATTGACGATCGCATCTTACAAGATGGGGCTGGGCCACAACCGGACCCAACGGCCTTTCCTTGGCTGCATTTTCCTGCCTAATGGACTGACTGAAATGTCGATCAGATAAACCAGAATTAAAAGCCTCATAGAAAGAAGGGTTCTTCTTTCTTGGCAGAAAACCAGCATCTCTGGTCATGAAGTCAGACTCATTGTTCAAAGGGAGGTTGCGTAGAGGCTTGTGGTAGTTTTCGGAAGTGGCCATCACCTTTGATGAGCGAGAAGGCAGTTTGTTGAGTGTGTAAGACAGAGTGTACCCACTGTTCTCTCGGTATTGATTGTAGCGAGCCTCTGAATAGGGGCTGTACCTATACCGAACTTTCCCATCTTCAAAGTAAGGCCGCACATGCTGGATGTCTGATGGTGGTGGATTTTGGTAAGGTTTGCTTTGGCTTCCTTGCCGTTGAAGGAAGAAAAATTTGTCCTCAGGTGGAGTGTGCATAGAGCGCACCCTGCGGATAGTTGGGTAGACGGAGGCTCCATCCAACGGTGGATACCTTGGTCCTCCATGTCTATAGACACCAACTGAGGAGTAGTCTTCCCGTTGACCTTTATACTTAATAGACTGATGTAGGGATCGTGGAGCAAGGGTATTGCAGTAGCTTCTTGAGAGAACTCTAGGATGTGGACGCCCATCGTCAACCTGATAATAAGATGTGCTTTGCCCATCCGAACTTGACCATTGTTGGGAGTGTTGGGAGTAAGCAGACCTTTGCTCTCTGGGTTTGTACTGATACAACACACTCGGTGGAGTACTTGATGCTTGTGGAAGAACTTCTTGTACTGAAGCAGGCATGGCTGTTTCCGCCAATATGGCTCGGAAGTTAGCAGCATTAGCAGCCTGCTTGTTGTGGAGTGCATCAATGGCTGAAGGACTATCCAAGGAAGAGTATCTTTCAGAGAGTGTCGTCTGTAAACTTCCACGTACCTCCATCTCAGCATCAAGGCTTGATCCACCTCCATCTGTACCAACTCCAACATGACGGATATTATCTCTCAGAGTTGTTTGGGTTTCTTGAACCAGCTGAATCTCTGGATCTGTGCGAGGAGAGAAACCCTGAGAGGGCACATGGGTGCACTGGCCACCAGCTGGTGCATCACAACCATCAGAGAAGCTGAGTCCGCTCTCACTGCCATGACAGGCGCAGGTGCTGCGTAGGCTGCCGGCATCAGTGTGACTCTCAGTAGACATAGTGCTTGATGGATCCGGGAAAGCCCTGTTAGACGCATACCGCTCCTCTCTATCAGAAGACGTTTGTACGGGAGGAGGAAATTGGAGTGTGAAGAGTGGGTTTTTATGATGAATTGGAGAAATAGGTGTGGGAGGTTCAGAGCTCCCACGTTTGCTGAGTCGAGTTGCCTGCTGGGCGGATTCGGCTAGCGCTAGAGCTAACATACGGGCAGCACTTTTTACTGCAGGCTGGGGAGTTATGAGAGATACAGACCTCACCAAACCAGGCGTGCATTCAAATGTCACTGCACCTAGACAGAGAAAGACAAACCAACATAGTTTTTAAAATAGAGACTTTTTAAAAGAGTGAGCATAAATTATAGCTTTCAGAACTTGGATATAGAAGCAGCTAATTAGTAGTTTAATGGCCTGTTTCTACTGAGAGGTATAGTATAGTACGGTACGGGTCTATAAGGGTCACCTTTATCAAGCTTGCATTTCTACTGCCAAAAGGGTACCAATGGTCATTCACATATCATATGAGAAGCATGTCTCACAAAACAGATGCTTTATGCACATAAATACTTGTGTAAACTATTTATATATAAAAAAAAAAATAAATAAATGCAACATGTATGAACACATACAGACCCTTTCAGTCTCTGATATGTTACCAATTACAGAAAAACTACACACAGCATACATTTACTTATTTGGGTTCAAAAACAACATGCAACATACACCTGCACCTACATTGCACCTAGAGTCGGTGCAAACCTCTCATCTGTATCTTTAATCTTCACCAGCACATGTAACCTCTTTTAGAAAGTAATTCCATCATTTCAATATAAGTTAATATTAGTCCATAAGGTGATGCTAATAGTTAAACATGGAAGTTTGTTCATGTTTTAGGTAGCTGAAAAAATCAATTGCTCTTTTTTTTTTTTTTTTTTTTTTTTTAGCTTCTCCTTTGTTATTATCATGAGCTCAAAAGGTTTGCTTTTTCAAATATAGACGTGCGGTGAGCGCACATAAGAAAGCCTCATAAACAACAGGACGCAGAGTAGATTCTGCTCTTCTTCTTGGCTTTGAGGCTGTTCATCAAGACAACAACAAAGTTTGTTTAAGCTCGGGTCGACCATGGCTCGTTATTATATAAATATATTATTACTGTGTATTGTCTTGGCTGTGCATTTAAAAATAGAAGCATCATTTGTTTTTATTCTCCTGGCTTTTGCATGATCTAGAGAAGTATATCAATAATGTAAACCAATAATATTCAGTTGTGCGTCTTGTTCCTCTGTTTGGTACCCTTTTTTTGTGCTAGGTACCTTTTCGAAAGGATACATAAAAATTGGTGTGGTACAATTCACTTTTTTGTACCTTTTGACAGTGAAAATGGCCATAAAAATGTACCAAACAATACCATACCACTCAGTGGAAATGGGTGTTAATGAGCTTAGTTAGGGTCTTAGTTACTGTTTTTTTAATAGTGTGAATTGTACATTAAAATAAAGTGTGAATATAGCATATCTCTATTATTTTATTCCTTCGGGTTAAAAGTTAGCCTCACTAACTTTGTTGAACATTTCTTGACAGCGCTGTTTTTAATTTAATTTTACTTTGTGAATCCAATTAAACAAAGTACAACTTCAGAACTATAAAAAGGTATATAACTAATAATTGTCTGATTTTCTTTTGCAGTTATCTGCTTAGCACATTCAGTTAAGTTTTGAAGAAAGTAAACAAAATAATTAGTGTAAGTGTTATGTTGAGAAATTTATATGCATGACACTAGTAGCTGAGCATAGGTTCCTTTATATAAATATCTGTATCATTCGATTATTTAGATAAATGAAAGGTTGTGCAAGGTTGCTGACCTGAGTCTGCTCTTCTGTGCTGCTTTACATCTGCAGATTTACTTTCAGTTTTGCAGAAGCTCGCAGATCGCTGATGGCCTTCTCCAGCTTTCATAGACACGCTGGGCTTTTTCATGAGGGACACAATGTCAGAAGGACAGGACACAGTACTGCTTTTTGGTACTGAACTCCTTGAGGTGCCCATTTGGCCGGTCTTAGAGAAGCCTACATCTAGATTAGTTGAGGAGAGTGGCAGTTCAGAGGGTCTGTGTTTTGAATCTTCTGCACGCAGTGGAATGAGATCAGGAGGTTGTGAAGGACTTGTGACTTTGTTGGAAGGCTCTAACTCATGGTTTTTGCCTCCTGCCTTCTTGCGACTGCCTTTTTTCTTATTTTCCTGCTCAACCAACCGTGCTGACTGAAATGCCAATGGGTCTATGTCTAAGGAGGATATACCTATAAACTCAGCGTCTGCTGAAGGATGGGGTGGAGATATAAGAGCTGGCACACAAGAAGAAGAAGAAGTGTCTTTCCTATGGTCTTTGAGACTGGACCGAGAGTCTCCAGTCAGTCTGCTGTCTAGAAGCTCCTCATTGAAGGAGAGTGATAAAGCATCACTGGTGGAAAGCGGCCGACGTGGACGGTAAATATTTGATCCACCTGAGAAAGAAAAACAGAGATCAGCCAATGAATGAATATACAGGAAAAACTAGCTAGCTAGAATCTAGACTAGCTGACAAGTCACTGTAAATAACTTTTGTACTGTAGTAAAGGTGTCCTCTCTAATAAACCTCACCACATGTCAGAAAACATGCATTAAATCAGAGTTAGATGTGAAACTGTATCTCTGAGTCCAAATTTAGGAGTTATGTGTAGGCCCACATGGAATCTGTGCGCGCAGAAATCAGATGTTTAGCCCATCATTGAGTCTATTTACTTGTGTAAATGTTTATAAATTTTAATTTATTTAGTTTTAAAATTAATTATTATTATTATCAGTAACATTATTGACTAATATTAAAATGATCCCACGATTTATTTGTAAAGTAATATTTTTAGTCTTTTAGTAAATAACTTGTTTTAGTATAGAGAGACTTGCTTTGTTTACCAAATAAGTAAATCTAATTGGATTAAGTTAAAAAGATGTTATTTTTTATTTCATGTAATAAGTTTTTAGTTATGATACTCCCAAAATCATTCCGCATAAATCAGCAGATTTTTTTACAAAATTCTCAGCAGAAATAGTGAAAATGTTCGCAGACTCTGTTTGGGCATAGTTATAAGTTAGCGATTACTGTAGAGACGATTTGCAAGTGGTATAAAATATTGCAGTGCTTTTAAGCGTGGCAATGAAAAAAATAAATGAAATATGATATTTACCCTCAAAGTTATGTGAAGAGGACAGAGATTCTTCACTTTTAGCAGAACGTAGAGTCCCAGTGTCTCCTCTTCCACCTGTCAAAATGAGTTCAGAGTTCAACAACCTTTTTTTTCTGCTGAGGAAACCTGTAACCATTGACGTCCATGGTATTTGTTTTTCCTACTATTGATTTCAATGGTTACAGGTTTTCATCTTTCTTTAAAATATCTTCTTTTGTTTTCAAAGGAAGAACCAAACTTAATATGGTTTAGAACCATTATAAGTAGAATAAAAAGTGAGTACATTTTCACTTTTGGAGAAACTTTTCTTTAAAATAATCATTCAACACAGACTGATATGTTTCAAGTGTTGATTTCTTTGAGTTTTAAATAATTTTGATGACAACTAATAAAAACCCAAAATTCAGTATCTCCGAAAATTTTAATATTACTTCAGACCAATATCAAGGATTTTTGGAAATCTTGTCAAACTGAAAAGTATGAACATGAAAAGCTCTTTTTGCCTGAATTACTGCATCAATGCGGCATGGCATGGAGTTGAACAGTCTGTGGCAGTGTTTGAGTTGAGTTTAGTTGAGAGTACATTTCTATCAGTATTGGATTTAATTTGATATACTTTATATGCACACACCTCTGAATGTTTAAAACAATGGATATTGTTCAACATAGTGCCTTTAAACTAGTCACTGGTTCAAGTGCATGCACACATCACTGTAATTTATATAAAAGGACAGAATGGACCTTATTACAGTCAAGAGGAAATCAATATAATTTATATTTCATTTTAAAAGCTTTAGTTGGTAAATTACCACAATATATATCTAATTTGTTGGAGTACTGTTCAAATACTTACAATGCCAGATCATAAGATATGCTCTTACTTAGGATGCCCTTTTTTCACACAGAGTTAGGTCGATATGCATTCTCCAAGTGTGCTCCAAATGTATAAAATGAGTTTTACATATACTACTCATTTAATCCGTTCCATCTATCGCTATATTTAAAAATATTTTAAAGACACAGTGCACATGTTTTAACAATTGATTATGGTTTATACTATTTTTGTGTGTGTCTATGTATTGTGACATGTATTTTTATTTTTGTAACTATGTCGTATGCTGCCTGTCTTGAACAGGACTCCATGGTAGAAGTAATACTGTATCTCAATGGAACATTCCTGGATTAATTAATTATTAAGATATTATGAGAGCCCAGTTTATTGAAAAATATTCTAATTATATGACCAGCACCTATATACTTTACATACAGTTCTTTTAAAATCCACTCAAAAAAATAATAATAACAATAATAAACAGTTTCCACAAGTACTTCTGTGAGGTAGCTTGAACAATCAAGCGATGAATAATAAGTTGCAAATATATTCAAATACAAAAACCACATCAAGTTAAAATACCCGGCAGGCACGTAAACAAAGAAAATAAATAAAAGTGCCACAGTGGGAGACTATTTCTCCTGTATCCAACGAGCTAATTACGACAACTGATAAATTGCTTAATATCTAATTAATAAGCAGATTAATATATGGTCTTGTTAGGACTTACAGATATTCATCAATAACCCCTTTACCGGAATATGACTGTCAATAAAACTTTTGGATCATTGATGTACATTCTGAATAGAAGAAAGAGATTTAACCAATAGCATCTTTACAACAAAGTGATGTCATGCAGCACGCATTGCTGTGTCTGTGTAAAGTCTAGAAAGAGGTCTAACTGTGTGCACTTACATAAGTAAAGATGTGTTAAAATATATATATATATATATATATATATATATATATATATATATATATATATATATATATATATATATATATATATATATATATATAACATCCTTTTTCAATTAAGTCTGAAACTGCACGATTTGGCCTGATTTCTGATCATGTGATCAAATCTAGACATCCCTAATAAATTATTCTCACATTATATCAAATAAACATGCTAGAATGATCTCTGAAGGATCACATGACACTGAAAAAGTGACTAATATTGCTTAAATTCTGCTTCTCTATCTCAACAATAAATTACATAACAGGAAACATTTATTTTAATTGACTAACTAACCATCTTGTCTCAGCATTTTCCAGTACAGAATGTAGCATGACAATGATGACTAAAATGCCCTATAGGTTAGGCAGCACACTGGGATTTGGAAGAAAAGAAAGGCTGAGACTGAACAGAAGAGTGAAAGCTGCACCTGGAAGAGGAGTGGTTTTCATGTCATTGGGCTCGCTGGGATGACGGTGCAGTTTGGGCTTGGCTGAAGCTGACGACTTTCCCATATTAAAGAAGGAAAGCCAGTTTCCCACAGGAGATTTCTTTCCTTTGGTTGAGCCCTTCTTCCTGCAGTAACCAACAATGATTACTTGTTACTATGCCAAATCTGCATTCTTGCTAAATAATGAAAAAACACAATACAAATGGACATACCTTTCAGATGGGAAGTCTATGACCGTGTGGAACTTGCCCTGCAGGGCGGCAGGCCCTTCTCCCACATCGATATACTTGCTATCAGGTGACACAGGAGAGTTCAGCTGGGCTTGAGTTCGAGCCTGGGCTTCTTCCAGAGAAAGCAGTTTGGTAGATGGAGAACTCACTAGTAGAGACTTAGGTCGAGCTAAAGTAGTGTGGCCTGTGGATTTAGATTAGAGTTATCAGCTCGTTTAAGATCCTCATTAGTGGAGTTTCATCTAAAAATCAATTGTGGTAGGAGGAGAATAGCCGCGGCTCATTTCTCACCTGTGCTGTGGCGGATCAGAGTGCTGAGTTTGGGACTGAACAGAACATCGACGTGATTAAGGATGAACTCCACAACCACTGACTGAACCCGCACTTCCATGAAAGCAGAGGTACCACTGAAACATGCTGACTCGATCTGTTTAGACCTGCCACGTTTGAGGGTAAATGCAATATTTTAACATTAATAATAAATAGAATACATAATAAATATTATATATATATTTATATATATATATATATATATATATATATATATATAAATTTTCAGATTTTTTTTCAGACGGAGTCACCTGAGAAGATTTGGAGCCCAAACAATGGCAAGGTTTTTGCAGTGCATATTGGTCACATTGCTGTACGTTCCCATTCGAGATAAATGTCTCATGAGAAACTCGAGAGTCCTGAAAACAAATAAAACAACAATAAATGTATAATTCACAAAAAAGAAAAAAAGAACCCTAAACCGATTTTCTGAAATATGTTTTTTACAGTATCTTGATCTCAAAATACATTTCACAAAGTTTGGGGTGCATACTATTTAGTACAAATTAAACATTTTATATGGAAAGGAGCATAACAGTTAATTTAAAACAGGGGTGTCCAAACCTTTTCGTATGGAGGACCAAAAAAAGCATCAATGAGAGTCGTGGGCCAAAGGTTAATATAACAAACTATATTACATTAAAGTTTCCATGGGTAAATTCCTAATTTATTTCATAATATTTCAAAATAAATACTACTAGAAAACATTATTTTAAATCTTATTAACTAATGCAGTATAACTTTTTAAATTATAACTTACTAGAATAAAAACATAATCTCATTTATAACACAGTGGATTCAATGCTGTTTAATGTTGAATACACTAGTCAAGCTTTAACTTGATTTGCTCACTAAAGTCTCTGCTTTGTCGGGTGACAGTATGCACATTTAAACAAAATCTGATTAATTTGTATAACTTTTATTGATCGGTCAGCTTTAACAAAAAAACAAACAAAAGGGTTACATTAGATTTAAAATAAAAATCTCGAAAAATTGCCATTATTTTCGCTTATGGCAGGCCAAATAAAAGGTTGCAATTGGCAAACATTGGCTTGCGAGCCCTAGTTTGAGCATCTCGGATTTAATATATATATATATATATATAAACATGGCCCTTGATGATTCATAAAATGCAGTTATAATCATAATAACCTTTAATTCACAGGCTTACAAAAGAAAGACTCATGTTGCACACGTGAGCTGACATTATTTGTTTACAATTACAGCATAGAGGAACGATGTGCATGTTGCATCGTTTACCAAAATGGTACTTGTACATATTCTGGATGTTACAATATAATATTAAAAACTAAAAGTTATAAATAAACAGTGCAAGCTCATTTCTGCAAACATGACATAATGATATTCGACATTAGGTGACAGAAAGCTTGCCATCAAGACTTCAATGAATGCACTTAGGAGCATTTTTAGAGGTTGTGCAATAAAAGTAATAACAGTATGTTGTAAATAATGTTCAGTTTCTTGCACAGGCTGATTTTTTTTCCTTCAAATGACATCAATGTATCATCAGGAGCCAGGATGGGTATTAAACTTGATTTGCCTTTACTGTATATGTTTTTGTGATTCTCAAGGTACTGGGAATTTTTGACTTGGATTTTATCTAAAAAGCTAAGAAATCGTCTTTAATGTTCTACTGAAGAAGAAGAAGAAAAAAAAAGAAAGAAAGAGAGTAAATTAACAGCAAATTTATTATTTAAAGGTACTATCACTTAAAAGAAGATTTTAGAACAATAATATTTTTTTAAGTAAAATAATTGCACACTAGGGGTCAGCAAATAGTTAACTCATCAGTTGGTAAGCATGAACTCTACGTTAATAGACATTAGTAAGCAGTTTATAAATACTCCTACAAATGCTGTATTTTTGACAAAAGGACATATAAAATGTGCTTAATAATTGTATCGTCATAATTTATTAATAATAAATTTGTCTTTACTAAATGAAACATTGAAATATTGACAAACCAGTTATTTAAGAGTAGTTGGTGTTAATTATTAATAAACTATTCAAATGACCATGCATACATCTTATTTTTCAAAGATACATCTGTTGTTACATGTAATAATAAATGCAATAATATAATGTAATAATGAATGCTTTATTATATTGTTCATTTTTTTTATTGTTTTGTCAAAGTCCATTGTGTATTTTGACACTTCTTTTTAAAGTGTACAGTAATTGTACTTTTACATAAGATTGCAAATGATTATTTTTCTATTTGATACAGTTAGTACAGTTACTTTTTTTGTATATTGAAATTAATAGTTTGTGTTCTGAATCACTGTCGTTCATTTCCTTTTTCTGTTTAGAACATAGCTTTAACTGTCAAGTATAAGATATTTAGAAAGCACAAATAGTCCTCACTTCAGATGAGTTCACAAAATTGCAGGGATTTGAGCTAAAGCATTTATTAATACACAGAGTGAATATTATTATATGCCTGAAAAAAAATTTGATTTCTAAAAATTTTAAATTCATTTACTTGCTCATTCTGAATCATTTTACCACCAACTGCTCCTAAATAACTCGTTTGTAATAATTGCAATACTTAATTTAGGAGTAAAAAGTTAATTGTTAACAGATTATGAAAATACAATTATTAATCACATTAAATATTTACTTTTATATACAATATAGCATTAGTAGCAATATTTTTAAACTGGTTCCTTATGTCTATTAATGCGCAGTTAATGCTACACAAATGAACTGTTTGCTAATGCTTAATAAATGAGTCAAGGTGTGCAGTTATCATAAAGTAATACCAACAACAAAACAATGCATCTCTTATTGATCTAATATTAATTCAGCAGTGAAGACTGAAGTAATCATCTGATAAAAACGAAGCTGTAGTTATCTCAGTGGCCAGCAGATGATGCTGTTTTCTCATCTAACCTGTAGTGAGGCGGCGGCAGCTGCTGAATCACGTCATGGACTTTGACCAGCCTCTCGTCATCAGTGGCTGCAGATACAGCATCCTGGAGAAATGAGCAAAACATCAGCTTTGTGCTCTTGCTACTAAATACATTAAATCATCATCGTCAGAGCTGCAGCAAGTTGAAACTTACTGAAAATTTCTCATAAAGCTGGTAGGTCAGCAGAGGGTTGGGAAGCTCCCGGAAGTAAAGTTTGCACAGAGATCCCACTGAATGGATGTCCTGGACGTAAGTGTCTTTAGTGAGATCTGGGACATGTTCCGAGTCAAACTCATGCCTGCAAAGACAGGAGAGGAATGCATTTTCTCTAGTGTTACTTTTAAAGTCACTTAAAAAAAAGTAACAAAATGTACTACTTTGTTACTTTTTTTATGTAAAGTAGCATGAAAGAATGAGTTACGTAATTTTTTTACTACATATAATTTTTACAGATTGTAATATATAACTTTTTCCCCAACACTATCTAGTATATATGATCTAAATTATGTATTATTTTGTTTATGTAATATATAACGTGTATTGTAGGTTAAATTGACACCAATATTTACACAAGTTATTAAGTTAAATGTTTTATTCTATTATTTTATTTATTTATTTTTTAATTGAAGATTTTAAGGATTAGGACAGATTTCACTTTCACAATCCTTTAAATCCTTAATGAGTTTATAAAAAGTTAAAACCATGAAACTGAACTAATTTGTTTAATTATATTAAACAAATATTATATAAAATAATCTAAAAATTAGAAAATATATCTTTCAGGTAGTTACAGAGCAAATATGGATCATTTTAATATTGTTTAACGTTAAAATAACCACAACTAAAAAAAAACAATAAATAAAAACCATGTAGACATATTTAAAATAAATAATAATAATAATAATAATAATATAATTTTAAAACAACAAATATGTCAAAGTTTTAAAATAAAAACAAAAAACAAATTAAAATTAAAAACAATAATAATAACAAAAAATACTCAATATTAAATCTTTTTTCCTCAAATCAGTATAATAAAATGATTTCTAGTACTAATGTTTAATGCTGAAAATCCAGCTTTGCCATAACAAGAACAAATTACATTTAAAAAAATATTCAAATAATAACAAAACAAATAAAAAATGCTATAATAAATATACATGAATAATACACTCCTGAGAGACTTCAAATTAGGGCTGAACAATACATTGCTTGAGTATCCATACTGCAATGTGTGTGTATCTTCAATAAACACATCGCAGGATTCGATTGTTAATTATAGATTAAAAGATAAATATATTAGTACATTTTATTTTACATTATTGAATATAATTATTTATACAATGATGACTATGTTATTTTACATTTAATTGCATTTGAATTTCTGCAATTGGATACTGTTAGTCTCCACAGAAAACCATAAAGCACCATTTATTTAACTTTTATTGTTGGTAATTTAGCTTTAAAAAATGATTGATTTTTCCCAATAGAGCTATTTAAATCATTTAGTGAATGTATATTCATATCACAATAATACATATATTTATATTTATATTTATATATATTTATATATCGCAACAAAACAAAATATCGCAATGTCCAATATTGTAATGTCCAATTTTCCAATATCATGCAGTGAAATACTTTATTTAATAATAAAGTAAAATGTATTAAGTGGTTATTATCTATTATTATTATTATTATTATTATTATTATTATTATTATTATTATTATTATCATTAATAATAATAACAATAATTATTATTATTATTATTATTATTATTTAAATTCCAGACCTCAGTTTCTGAATGTTAGAGGAGATTCCAGACAAGCGGTAAATCCCATCCACAACTCCATGTCTCTCAATGAACTCAGTGCAGCTTCTGATGACCTGAGGAACTGTAAGAGCAACACACATCACAAATACAAATTACACACAATTATACTATTTCAATGAAAGATTTAGACACATTAAACATCCTCAGATTCCCCTCACCATCATGGCCTGAGTTCAGCAAATGTTCTCCAAGGTCACAGCCGAAAACTCTTTCCTTCAGGATCCCTCTCTGTTTTAGCTTCTGCTTGGTGGGACGGGACTTCATGAACGTGCGCAGAAAAGTGATCAGCTTGCCATGCTTCTTAGACACTGCAGAAAATTACAATAACAGACTTCAAAATCTCAATGCAAGATGTAAAACACTTTAATTTGCAGGTTTTTTTTAGGATCTCAAATTTAAGGACCTTTAAACCATAAAAACCTAAAGATACTGATAATTTGTGCAAAAGTGTCTACCTGGTTTGGCCAATGAGCTGGTCACGTTGGAGGGGATTTTCTCACTAATTAATTCCACACATTCAGACGGAAAAAATCCCACCTGTGAAGGAAAAGATAAAACACCTGAGAACCCCAAAATTTATTGAAACGCTTCTTATCTCACTTCATTTCAACAAGGGCACAATTATCATAATTGCTCTCTTTAAACAGTCTGAAATCTCTTAAAGGTACGTCAGTGAATAAGTCTGCGAATCCCTCAGTATATATAAAATGTACAATCTAGCTGTTGCACAATACGAATTCATTATTTGTAGCCCTGAGAATCAGTAGCAATTACTTTACAACATGTTTTATCACCACTAAGATTCCTCCCTTATCTGCTGTAAAGTAAGTCACTTTAGTCACTTTAATGAGGCGATGCTTTGACACAGATGAGACATAAAAGCTGCAAAAACAAGTCTCAAACGTATGGTAAAACTCATTCTAAAGCGATGACATTTTACAACATGTAATTTCATTACAGTGGGGAATCACATATGCAAATATATGTTGTTGACCATAAAAGTTGATTACTTCGAATAAAATAAAATATACACGCAGTAAATTATATTACATTTAATAATATAATATTGGTACAAAAATTAATTAAAAAAGATAAAACCTAAAGTGAATATTGAAATCATGGAAACCCCATCCACAATAAAATATAATAAAGTGAAATATAATACAATATATGTACATGTATATAATACAAATAAATAGATGTGTATTAATCATAGTTGGGGAAAGTTACATTTGAATGTATCATTACAATATTGATTTATTGCCCCAAAAAGTACTTAGTTGTGTTACAGTCACTTTTTATGCTAAGTAAAGTGTTACGTTACTTTTGAGTTACTTTTTATTACCTGGCTGAGGCTTGATCTCTTTCAGAACTTTTTTTTTGTTGTTCTTTTTCTAATAGAGGAGCTCTGCAATTAACAACGCACTATTTAATCTACACTGACTTTGACCTTTAAAAAGCACATCGAAAATAAACTTTAGGATAATTTCCTAAAAAGGGTAACTTCCTGACCACAGAAATCCTCATGCCATATATACAGCTGCAATCAGAATTATAAAACCCCTGAATTATTAGCCCCCATGGTTTATTTTTTTCCCCAATTTCTGTTTAACGGTAAGAAGATTTTTTCAGCACATTTCTAAACGTAATAATTTTCATAACTAATTTCTAATAGCTGATTTATTTTACCTTTGCCATCATGACAGTAAATAATAACTGACTAGATATTTTTCAAGACACTTCTATAAAGCCTAAAGTGACATTTGAAGGCTTAACTAAGTTAATTAGGTTAACTAGGCAGATTAGGGTAATTAGGCAAGTTATTATAATGATGTTAAATAAAAATGTTCTGTAGACTATTGAAAAAATATAAAGCTTAAAGGGGCTAATAATTTTGAAAAAAATATGAATAAAATTTAAAACTGCTTTTAATATAGCCGAAATAAAACAAATAAGACTTTCTCCGGAAAAAAAAAATATCATCAGACATACTGTGAAAATTTCCTTGCTCTGTTAAACATCATTTGGGATATATTTAAAAAAGAAAATATAATTATTAATTCTGATTGCAACTGTACAGATTATTGAAAGTTTAAAGCAATGTGTTTGCTATTTTTGTACTATATACTATACAAGTAAAATCAATGTCCCCCTTTTCATTTTCATTGATGCGTTCAGAATAATGTGACTACTGTGACAAAACATTGTGACTTCTTTCATGTTATTTCAGCAATTTATTTTTTGCAAGCTAATAATTAAACTAAAAAAGTAACTTGTGTTACATTTTCAAAAAAATTTACTCAAATATTAATGCTTATTTTTGAAAAGTAATTTGTTACTTTACTCAGTACTTAGAAAAACTCGAGTTACTTGTAATATTATATGTATATTACTGGTATTAGCATACATTCATATATAATGTATTCAATAATAAAAACAATATTATGCCATATACAGTGATCAGCATATACTGTATATGAGTACACCCGTGACAAATCAATCTTGTAAATGAATATTTTTAAAAGGAAGCTATACAATATTATATTCACGCATACACATCAGCTTAGTCAGCACTGGAGTCGCCTGCCCTTGATTACGTCTCTGAGGACCCCCTAAATGTGTGGGTAGTCATAGAATAGTCCTAACTTCTCCCCCTAGTGGCGTCCCTGCTTATATTCACCTAGAAATGGATCAACATTTTCACGAATTGTTCTCATTTATGCTGAGCATTGTATGTATGTTTAACAAAACTAAAGTAAAGAATTAAATAAAATGACAAAAAAGTATCAAATAAAGCGGTGTACTGTACTACACCCACTTGAAAACCATGTTTGCCCCTCCACCAGCCGGTGTCTTCTTTAGGAGGCATATCAATCACTGACACTATATCTCCAACCTTTTAAGACAAGAAATTACACTTCATTAACTAATAATTCTAATAAACTCTTCTACAAAACGATCAACTAAACCAACCACAACATGTAACACAATGATACTAATTATAATTTACATAAAAAACTAAATACCTCAAAAGAGAGTTCATCTGCTGCTTGAGCAATGTAGCGTTTTATTACGTGAGCCGCAGCAACAGCAGGAACATTAATAGAGGATTCATCATTAACCAGCAGGTGGTTTCCTTTGTTATCAATCTAAGACAGCAAAAGAGAAACATAGCAAAACATATAAACACAAGCATGTAATCCATAACAGTAAACCATCACCTTATGTAAAGATTTCATTGTTCCTTCTACAATGACGCTGCACCTTTCGGGGGGTTGTACTGTAAAATAAACACTAAAAGCTGAAAAAAAGCAAAAGTTGCGACTGAGCATGTCAGGACTCGTCTCTTATCCTTGTTAATGACTAACTACATCTACTGTATAAAAGTGGGTGTGAACATGCACTGTGTGTTATTATAAGGTCTGAAACGGCATTGCGTTTTATGAGACATCATGAGCAATTTGGTGTTGTTACAGCAGAGGTGTGAGCTCTTTTGGAATTAAAAACTAAATTAGCTGACAATCAATGTTGTATTTAAGAAGCAGAATTTGGACAGAAAGCATTCAGGTGCAGTGCAGGTTAAAAAGCAGTAGAGGTCCTCAAATCCAAATCAAATCGATCAAAATCACTTCTGGAGCACAGTACAAGGGTACATAGGTGTAATTTACTCGGGGGACATTTGTTATGTATGATTTTTTTTTTTAATCGTGTGCCATCATTGCGACTTCATTTGTGATTATTAGGTTTCTGCCATTATCCAGTATTGTTGCAAGTATTTGCTGAAGCTTTTACCACAAAAATATATGATATTATCATGATATTGGCCTAAGCTGCAAAAAGGATTACTTTAAGAGGTATAATAACCCCTAAAAACCTGTAGTAAAGTGAAACGTGTATTGATTTTTTTCTATAGATGTGGACAATATTGTTAGTACCCTTCCTTTGAAAAACAAACTACAGTGGTCACTGAAATAGAAGCTTATCAAGAGGAGAAATGGTCATGCTCAACTGAGTCTGGTCTCTTTCTCAAAGTTTTTTTTTTTTCTTTACTTTTGTCAATTGGTGAAGTTTTTGCTTCTTGCCACTGTCGCTACTGGCTTGCTCGGTTTGGGACTTGTGGAGCTGCGCATCAATGGATTTGCTCTTTAGTGTTTGAACTTTCAGCAGTGAAAATTAAACCACACTGAACTGAACTAAACTGAACTTTAACACTGAAAACTGGACTGACAAGAGTTTCAATTTACTAGAACTTCTATGTTAAGCTGCTTTGACACAATCTACATTGTTAAAGCGCTATAGAAATAAAGATGAATTGAACTGAAATAACTTGAAACTGAATAAAGGAAAACTGAATCAAAAATGATTGAAAACACATTAATGGAAACCAGATGTTGATTTCGAATTGTGGTTCACCTTGTGGTTCTTCAGAAACATTAAAAAGACAAACTATTGAAACTGGCCTGGACAAAATTGAAGGGTTTATATACTCATGTTATGAGTATATAAATTATTTAAATGGATTCAATTGCAAAGAGATCATACAGCAGGTACCATTTTATGATAAATATCATTAGTTAATGCAGTCAAATCAACAACAAGAAATAGCCATATTATAATTATATGTTAAAAAAACTGAATTTGATTTAATACATTTTTATTACCACAATAAAATGATTACGACTTCAGATTTAAATGCATTATTAGGCAAACATTATTAGGTTACTATTACATTGACTTAGACATTTGACATTGACATTAAATTAGCTGATATAAACAAATGGAGTCGTACTGTACAGGGTTAACAAACAAAAGGTCTATGAATAGTGCTTCCAATGTCGCAGGCCAAACTGACATCTGAAATAGTTAATGTCTGGTGATGTGATGAACAACCACTGTGCCACATATATATATATATATATATATATATATATATATATATATATATATATATATATATATATATATATATATATATATATATATATACACACGTTAAAACAGCCTCATCTTTCATACATTTGTAGAGCACAATAACCCCAGGTTCAGCTGTCGGTACTAGGGTTGGGCATCTAAGCTATAATGCCGATCCGATACGCATCTCGATACAAAGAATACGATCCGATATATTAGCGATACATTTATGACATATTGCGATGCGACACGATACGATTCACACCCATATCACGATACAACGCGATAATTCAGCACTAACTAATTAAATCAAGTTTATAAGATTATGTAAAAGCATAGGGTGGCAGAATAGAGGTCCGCGACACCCGCGCGTCCTCAGTTATATCCGCGCATAGGGCGGCAGAATAGAGGCCCGCGACACCCGCGCGTCCTCAGTTATATCCGCGCATAGGGCGGCAGAATAGAGGTCCGCGACACCCGCGCGTCCTCAGTTATATCCGCGCATAAGGCGGCAGAATAGAGGTCCGCGACACATCACTTTATTTTAATAACCGGTCCCTTTCGTTTTCACATTGGGGTTGAGGGCGGCGTGATCGTCCTCTGCCTAGAGCAGCTGTTAAGCTTGCTCCGGCCCTGCAGATGAATGAACATCCGTTATTGGCATAGAGCGCACAAAACTTTTGCACACGGAAAAAAAAAATTGCAATGCTTTTCTCACCACTTTTGGAGCTGGTAGCTACAGTTCAAGCAGTGCGAAAGCCGGGGATGTAGGAACACTGGAAGATGCTTTCACAACAACACCGTGGCGCCGCTTCAAGTGAGATTTCAGATTACTCGTACTGCCCGCATATTTTATAGATGCGCGGCACATTTTGCAAATTGCATCTGTCCTGTCAAGTCGTCCATCCTTAAATCCATAATGTTGCCATACTTTAGATTTAAAACTCAGTGGGGAATAAAATGTTTGTTTTGCTTCTCGCGCTTTCTGAGGGCGCACCACTAGCTTCATCCGCACACCTGATACACATCCGCAAATCCGTTGCTAAGGCTTACTTTATGTAGGTCCAGTGGCGTAGCGGACGGGCCCGCAGGGCACGCACCGCGGGGGGCCCCGCGTGATTAGGGGGCCCCGCGTCGTCGTGATTTTCAATAATTAAAAATCCACCGGCGAACGCAATAATCAAACTCTTGGGAACAACTGTGGTCGGAACCAAAGTTCACACGTCTGTGTTCTCTGAACACCTCTCAAGCGGTGGACTACTTCATTCTGATTGCTTGCCGCCAATGTTGCCAATTTAGCGACTTTGTCACTAAATTTAGCGACTTTTCAGACCCCCTTAGCGACAAATCTAGCGACTTTTTTTGTGTGTTATTGGAGATTTTTTTTAGACTGTCATTTTTCCATAATGTACCGTCCCTACTCTTCTCAACGAGCTGCGTGTGATGCCGCCGGCCCCTCCCCCGCCTCACAGCACTGACAGGCGGCCCAGTCAGTCCTCGTACAGCAGCCTCTCCCACCTGCAGCCCGAGAGCAGATCACCCCTCTGCGTACCGACGACAAATGATTTAGCACAGGCAGTGTGAAGGTATTTCCCTTGTACAGTCAAACCGATCTGCTTCTACTTTTTTTTAACAATTTATTTGGACCGTTTATTCTTTTCTTGTTCACAATCACAGATATTAGTGACAGTTTCTGAACTTGTCTGAGTTTATTACATATGAGAGATTACTGCACATTCACTACATATCTATAATGACATATTGTTTCAAACAGCAATAAATTTAGTTAAATAAACATGCTTAAATAAAGTGTAGTGCAATTATAAATACCCCTTTATTAACCATAGGCTGTTAAACAGAAACGGTAGAACGTGATGACGCCAGTGATATGCAAATTGACGTATGACGTATCCCCCCCTCCCTTCATCAGGGGGCCCCGTTAGCGATCCCTGCAGGGGGGCCTCTGCATTTTGCGCTACGCCACTGTGTAGGTCGATTAAATTATGCGCCAAAAACAGGTTGACAACACTTGTTAATAAATAAAAAATACATTCTATATTAAAAAAATAAGTTGTATCTCGGAAAAACCGATGCATCTCGCAAAAACCGATGCATCTCGATTTGCTTCCAAAATTTCATTCATCCTCTGCTACTCAACCGATGCACTCGCATCGTGCACGCGCATGACCGCGTATCGATACATATCGATTAATCTTCCCATCCCTAGTCGGTACACATTTTATTCCGTAGTAAAAAGTAGCCTAATTATATGGTTTCTATCATACTTATGAAAAACAGTAACCTGAAGGTGTGCCGATGTGTTCATATCCAAGTACTTCATGTGAATGCTCTAAAAATACTCAGTAAAAGTTCTAATGAGCAGGTAATGTCATTGTGACAGTCAATAAGGAAATGCCAAGCAGCAAAAGTTGACTAATGTCATCTTAAATGAGAAAAAGGAGAGTCTTTTTTATAAGGTTAGTTCAACTTCATAATTTCCTGGATTTTAAATCACCATAGTCCCTAAATGAATGAAATAAATGAATATTTTGTCCAGTTTGTTTGTGTTTTTGCTGTTTCTGTTTCTTGTTAATTAGACACTCAGTAAAGTGATTTGGTCTGTTTGGTATATTTGAGAAAAAAATCCATTAATTTTATTTTTACTTTAGACCTGATGCATTTAAAACCAAACCCAACCAATGTCCGAGGCATAGGCCAAAATTTTGGACTCAAACCCGTTTGGGTCTTTGGTTGGACCTCAGGTTTTTCGGAAGACTTCTAAGCAGGAAAGACTTGTATACCTCCATCCATGTGAGTGCTGGTCCACAGTTGATCTTATTATCAGCGATGGCTGACAAACGGGAAATATACGCAGTAAGCATTTGGGAAAGTGTCTGTGGAGAAAGTACAGGGATCAAAAACAAAGAGACAAGTTTCAACAATCTCATTCTCTCCCTTTGAGATAATAAGCCCTTGATCCAACATAGCAGACTCTGTTTAGGAGCCTAGTGAAAAGCCTGGCTGTCTGCTATCTACATAGGGAACTACCTTCTAATAGAGCAGGTTAACTGAAATGAGCCTCAAAAGACTGATTTTGATGACTCTACATGGGCAGCAACGTAAAGAGTGCACTACATAGCAAGTACAGTATGTGTGAGTTTGACGATATAAGCGATATTCAAAAATGTCAGACATGTTTCCTTTAAAGGCTTTGTTTACACTTGGTATGAAGATGCAATTTTTTATTCAATCTCAAGTGGATGATGCTAAATATGGGTAAAAATATATAAAATATGGGTCTAAAAGGTTGACCACTTTCAGGGGTTGTCGAAAACACTCTTGATTAGACTGCAGATCAATAAAGTAAAATTTGATGTAGCTTTTCAAACAGGCACAAAAATACACCAATCTACTTCTTAAACATTACATTTTTAAATAATGCTGTCTTTAATCTAAAGTCTGAACTATATATTTTTTTCCATTATTAGTGTTTTGCATTTATACTCCATAAAACTCTTCAGTGTCTTCATAAATATCATAATAAATAACCATGCTACCTAAATAAAATCTCAGAAAAACACTTAAGTGATGCAGAAAAATCAAAACACATCTCAAAAATCCAACAGTTTATTTTTGGCAATATTTTTAAATGTTTTAAAAATGCAGTCTTCAACTGGGGGATTTTTTAACTTCACCTTTAACTATTTATATTCCATTTTTAAATTACATTTCTATTTCTACAGCACTTAATGCAAAGCATTTTGGGACTGTCTTCACCAGTGATTTATGCAGAAAATGCACTCAATTTTTAAAAGGTAACTATATATACACACATATAGTATATAAACCTACCCCAGTTTTGTCCTTCAGGCTGTCTATTCGGGGCAGTTCAGGGAGCTGAGAGAATCTTCTATCATAAATACAGAGGTGCAGGTGCTTGTCAAGGACACGAAACTCTTCATAAGAACGCCTCACTGTCCACTTACGACCCTAAAACAAATGAAATGGGTGGGTAATTAAAAGGCACAATAGTAATTATAAATTTTAAAAATGCAGCGTATTAAACTGGCAATCAAATCTAAATTAAAGCCTGTTCACATCGAGAATGATAATGATATTAAATCTATAAAGGTACAGTATTGTTTTTAAAAATCACTCTAAATTTAATATACACACACACACACACACCATCTTAACAAAAACAACATAAGCAACATATTTATTTCAGCTAATCAACAATAAAATCAATGACAATCAGAATTCAAGCATTTCAAGCGATAGATGACAAAACTGCAGGTGTGATTATAATAAAATGAATGATATTTTTAGCTGTAATAGATGCAATTTTTGCTATAGTTAGATGTATCTTTATAGCTGTTCTTCTTGCTGTGAACAAAATATTTTAAATTCTTAATCACAATAAATGTGAAATCTAATGTTGTTGTTTTGACACAAGTAAAAAAGTCAAATGAATGCAACAACTTTAATCCAAGAATGCATTGAAGAGATTAAAAATTAACAAAAATATTAGAACAACTGTATTCATAGCATGGACAATAATAATAAATGTAATCAATGATAATAATGAATGTAATTAAAATGATTATGTGACACTGGAGAAATGGTGCTGAAAATTCATATTTGCATCACATGTACTGTATGTATTAAAATACTCAACAGTTATTTTAAATGTCAATATAACATCACATTTTTAGGGGTTTACTGCATATTCAATCAAACAATTGCAGCCTTTGTGAATCAGAGATTCATTCATTCATTTTCTTGTCGGCTTAGTCCTTTTATTAATCCTGGGTCGCCACAGTGGAATGAACCGCCAACTTATCCAGCAAGTTTTTACGCAGCGGACGCTCTTCCAGGCGCAACCCATCTCTGGGAAATATCCACACACACACTCATACACTACGGACAATTTAGAGAACCCAATTAACCTGTACCTCATGTCTTTGGACTGTGGGGGAAACCGGAGCACCCGGAGGAAACCCACGCGAAGGCAGGGAGAACATGCAAACTCCACACAGAAACACCAACTGAGCCGAGGTTCAAACCAGAGACCCAGCTTTTTGCTGTTAGGCGACAGCACTACCTACTGCGCCACTGCCTCGCCCTGAATCAGAGATTATGGAGCCAAATGTTACATTATTAGTTTTTTTTTCTGAAAATATAAGAATATTTCGCCCTCAGACATAAAAAAATAACCCTTTTTTATTGTTTTTTTTTTTCAGTTTCAGCTTTTTTCCAGTTACTATACACTCTCAGACAAAAAGTTACAAAATCTGTAAACTGACCTTATCTAAAGATACTAATACCTACCATTTTGGTATTAATATGTGCATTTTACGTATAAACACACTAATACGTTTTGAAAAAGTACCACCCCTGTAATAGCTTTTGCACCGTTTTTCAGAAAGTATGACTTTGGTCACAATGGTAGTCTATCGCAGAATGTATGATCTTCCTTTTTGCTGATACATTTCTGTTGTGCTTTGGTACGGTCATAACATGCAGTGTTTATAGAGGCTGAGTTATTCAGTAGCTTAGATGTAGATTTCATATAGCTAGAAAACAAAGAGATCTGCTGGTAAGAGTTGGTTTAGAAACCACAGAGAGGGACTTTACTAAACCCTTTCTGTTCTTCACCAGCACAAATATATATATATATATATATATATATATATATATATATTTTTTTTTTTTTTTTTTTTTTTTTTTTTAAGAATTTATGTGTGCACTGGTATAAAATTAACCCAAGAGCAATAGATAAATAAAACAGCACTATTGTTGACCAAGAGTTTTTCCATTTACAGCTTTGTCTTCATCTTGGTCTCAAAATTCTCTTTGAAAAATCCCATCTTTTCCTAAACCCGGACACATTCCATGAAACAGATAAATTGCTGTGCAAAGTCTTGTGGTTGGCCTGCTGTTTGATCTGAAGCTCTTAAAGGTCTTTTTATAACTTCACCATTTCTCCAAGCATGGCAGCAGGCTTAGCTTTCGATCTGTTGCCATAACAAATCAGTGTTCCCGAGATGATATTTTTTCTCCTCTGTAAAACAGAGGTTCTGGATGTTCAGATATTTTCCCTGTGTAAGTGTGCTTACCTGGCAACAGATCTGGATCAGATACACCGACTCTTTTGAGTCCAGGCCATTGTTTGTGAGGTCATTCTGTTCATCAGTTAAAGACAGCTGCGGAGAGACAAAAAGACATTAACAGCTCTCTTAATACTCGTATTGTTCCTAATGAAATTATATATAGTCATTATAAATCCCACAACACAATGATCCTGTGTGGAACAACAAGTTAGAGACTGCAAGACTGTACAGAAATGTATTATTAAGTAACCAAAACATCAATATAAAAAAAACCTTTTCGATCAATTAACAAATACAGTAACAACATGTGAAACACTCCACGAAAGGTCATGAGCTCCTGAGAGAGAATGAGAGATATGGCAGGTGAACTGCAGTTGTGGCTCAAACATGACAATGGATTTTTAAAGGCTACAAAAACAACAGGCTCCAATGAGGGACACAGGGAAGACAAATCTTCTGCACACCGACATGACAGGACTACAAGCAAACTGCTCCTCAAAACTGACTCTTTCTGGTTTCAGAAAGTCAAACACAACATGAAACATTTAAATACTGTATAATGGAAATCTGGATAATAAAAGTTCAGTAAATGGTAATGACAAATGTTTCCTTGTTCTCTTGTAAATCCCAAGAGTGTAAAATCCCAGTAAAAACCAGGCCACTTGGAACAAAACAGACTCTGACGATCCACATGCATGGGATTATTAATGCTCATGTTACAGGCAGTGTTTGATTGGCCACAATGTTTCCTAATGATAATTGATAAACAATGATATTTTTTTCCTTTATTTTAAGTTCATCCAAGCTTGTGTTTAATTACTATATATGTGGGACTCTTATTTTGAAAACTATTCACACTACAGGATTTTAAACATCAGCAGATCGCTGTGCCGTTCACAATACATGACCTGACTTTGTGTCTTTTAATCTCTGTGGTGTTCACACTACGCAACACTCCGTGAACAATCCACAAGAGGGGGGTCACACACTACATGATATGACAACATATCAAGCTACCAATCCACAGCTAATGAAATTTTGAGGGAGGAGTCTTCAGAAAAAGCTGAACACTATTGGCTGCTTGTGTGCTGATGACATCACTGACAGCGTTTCAAGCTTTGGAGAAAGCATTTAAAAACATCGTCAAATCAGCTGATTTATCAGCGGATTTATCACTCATCTGCAGGTTCCAGTGGATAGATACACAGAGAGTTTTTAATTTTTGTAATTGTATAACTCTTTGAAATAAAACTAACATATTTATAACACCCTGCCGTTTTCTAACTATTAGTGTATTTCTTTCTGACATTGTTATTTTTTTTTATTACAAAACAGTAAAGAACTGAGCATTTCTGCTTTAAATTACCATATTGGTTAAAATGACTGCATGCATGTCTAATACTTTTCACTGTGACTTTAAATATGTGTGCATTTTCTTGCCTAGCAACTTCCTGCTAACATAAACAAAACTTTCTGATGGCAAAAACATCAATTTACATAAAACATCAATTTACTTTAGATATCTTTCAAAACAGCATATTCTGTGCTGCAAAATAGCTCCTGTTTGAAAGTGAAAATGAAAGGCAAGACCTTTAAGTGTTTTAGTATCTTAACTACATATTTATAGGCTGTATTACAAAAAAAAAAAAGATTATATTTTTAGGGTAATGGTGTCATTAAATATGATGCCAGACATTCAAAGCTTAATTTTAATATCTCAATAATAGCTTTGAATATAAATATGTTGTGACAATATGGCGTTTTATATAAGAACCGTCAGAATGAGCAGTATGGTAATTCTAATAGTTACAGAATTCTAGTTCCACTGTTAATATAGCCTACTCTCATGTCTGTGCTAACGCAGAATGAAGCCAGTGCACCGATGCCCATTCTGACCAATCACAGATGTTTCTGCTGAGCTCCTGAACACACAGGCACGCGGCTCATGCTGATATGCTCTCTCATTGGCTGCAGCTCGTCACTACATCTGACCACACGTGGGGTTGAGTCGGCCGACTGCTCTGGAATATTTAGCATGCTGAATGTTGGATTTCCGTCTGCGAGGTGTCGGCGACGCGTCAGCGAGCCTCGTTGATGCGTTGTTCAGTAGTTCACACATAAAGAGCGGCGAGCGCCGTGCACCCGCAGATTTCTTCCCGATCACAGCCCGATCTGTTGGCGAGCTCGTTAACTTCCAAATCGGGCTCAAATCAGGCTTAAAATCCTTTAGTGTGAACTAGGCATAAGCATGACCATGGAGTATTTACAGCTGGTCAGGATGCAAAATGCAGGATATAAGGATTATCAATGTATTCAGCACCATCCTAAAGCGGCATAAGGTCTTTTTTGTTAGTTTAACATGTATATTGTGAAATGTGCCACATATTAATGTTTGCGAAGAAGCAACAAAGAATGTAGACTGCTGAATATGTGTTTAATACAAATCTAAGGTTGTAAATTGACATTCAAAACTGTTCCTAGTAGAATGCCTTCTATTTATATATTGTATCTATTTATATTTGCAGTTTGAAAGTGAAATGTTCATTGAGTGATGGTAAAAAATAGTAATCCTTACCTTAAACCTAATCAACAGCGATGCAGAAACAAATGGATAATAAATATGCATTTGACAAGGAAACTCTGCCATTTTACCTACAGTAGTTTTACTGGATTAGAACTCAGCACAATTACTAGGCTAGCTACTGAGCAAGTTTACTACATTGAAAAAGCCAAGCATTTGCATACTGATAAGTGATGCAAACATTGAAATGTATTTGTTTAATATCTGAAAACACAGTATTGTGCAAGGAAGGAGAGTTTTAATTGATTCATTGATGAACTGCCCTACTAAATCTATCATTATTTTCAATGATTGGCCACAATGTTTCCTAATGAGATTACAACAATTATATATATTTTTTTCCTTTACTTTAAAGTTAATCTAAGCTTGTGTTACTTACTATAAATTGCAGGACTCTTATTTTGAAAACTGACCATGGAGTGTATACAGCTCGTCAGGATGCAAAATGCAGGACATACAGATTCTACATTTTTCAGCACCATCCTAAAGAGGCACAAGGTCCTTTTTGTTAGTTTGACATGTATATTGTGAAATGCACACATTAATGTTTGTAAGAAGGCAACAAAGAATGTAGACTGCTCAATATCTGTGTTTAATACCATTCCTGTACCTTATATTTAGATATCAGAGACAAATTTAACATCTTATCAATGCAGTCTATGCCACCTGTCAACAAGCTTACAAAAATATTACATTTTTGTATTAATGACAACAATTTAATGTTGCTTCTTGCTCATTTCTTGGTAGTGCCAAAGAAATGTTCATTGGGTGAAAAATAGTAAACCTCACCCTAAACCTAACCAACAGTTTTACAAAAACAAATGCATAATAACCATGCATTTGATGCACTGTAAAACCCCAAAAATTAAGGTAACTGAAACCGTTCGAGGAAACAGATTGCAACAAACCATTTAAGTTAAAAAACTAATACTGTGAATTTAATCCATTTGAGTAAATGAAGCAATTTGAGCACAGTAAAACCCAATAAATGAAGAGAACTCAAACCAACTGAGTACTGTAAAACCCAATAAGTTAAGGCAACTCAAACCGTTTGAGGAAACCGATTGCAACAAACCATTTAAGTTAAAAAAAAAACTAATCTGTACACTCTAAAAAAAAATTCCGTAAAAAAACGGTAAAATGTACTGGCAGCTCATTACACAAATATTTTACCGTAAATTAAAAACGGAAAACTTCTGTTAATTGACAGTGTGTCCACATTAAAAAAACTAAAAAATATCCGTTTTTTGACGGTTAAACTACTGTAAAATAACGAACCATTTTATAGTAATTTAAGGGTTTTCTATATAAAAAAACTGTTATTTTCTGTGTTTTTAAGGGTATACCAACAGTAAAAAAGCGGAACTATTTTGTGTTTTAATAGTATACCTACTGTAAAAAAACAGACAGATTTTGTGTTTTAATAGTATACCTACTGTAAAAAAACAGACAGATTCTGTGTTTTAATAGTATACCTACTGTAAAAAAACAGACAGATTCTGTGTTTTAATTGTATACCTACTGTAAAAAAACAGACAGATTCTGTGTTTTAATTGTATACCTACTGTAAAAAGAGGACTTTTTTGTTTTTTAATAGTATATATACAGTGAAAAAATGAACAGATTCTTTGTTTTAATGGGATACCTACTGTAAAAAAAATATTATTTTACTAATTTAATGCTCTTCAAGCAGCATAGAAATAGCAGTTGGTAAGGATAAACCTATACATATGGGAAATACACTACTAATGGTTTACCATAGTAAAACAAAACATGTATTCCATACTGTATGTATAGAGAAGCAGTAAATAGTTTGTTAACTGTGAACTTACAATGATTAGTACAAAAACAACTTTGCAATTAAAACAGATTCTTTAATGAATACAAATCATTTGAATTCCAAATAGCTAGTTATACACACAATAAATACATATTGACATGTGAATCACACAGTGAGAAGTCTTGGCAAATAATCTCAAAGCAAATTAGTTTTAAATGTTAGCTTTAAGATAATTGAGGACAAGTGGGCAAATTACAAGTACTTTACATTAAGAAACCAGGTTAACTGCAAGATGGCAGGAAACAGACGATACAACTGGGTCTTCTTCCGCTCCAATACTGATACTTCAATGGCTGTAAAAAAAAAAAAAAAAAAAAAAAAACATTACTAATGACATTTCACTTACAACTGGGGTAATTCCTTGCACGTCAATAGTTTACACAAATGAAAGTTTTATCATCATCTTCATGTCTCACTCTTGTCATTTCAAGCCTGTCTGACTGACATACTTCAACAGAACAAAATAGGAGAAATAGGAGCAACATTCTTTAAAATATGATATTTTGTGTTTTGCAGAGGAAACAAAGTCATACAGGTTTAAAATGTCAAGAGAGTAGGTAAATTATGAATGATCAATTATTCAGTTTTGGGTGAGAAATCACTTTAAGATTTTTCAAAATAAAGTGTAGGTACTTTTGACAATATTCAGAACAATAATGCAAGAGAGAAACAGTAATATAAACAAACTATGCTGGTAACACTATAATAACAACGGGCTATGATTCATTTATGAAGCATTAGCAAATAGTGAATTCATTATCTGTTAAGCATTAACTCTACATTAATAGATGTTAGCAGTTGGTTATAAATACAGCTGCAAAATTTGCTACAGCTACAGTTTAATAATTGTGTTATCAAACTTAAATGATTGATTTTACATTACTATTTATAGATAAAAAAAAAAAATATATATATATATATATATATATATATATATATATATATATATATATATATATATATATATATATATATATATAATATTATATTTAATATTGCATTATTTACAAAATTTCTTCCAGTTGTGGCCTAATCTAAAGTGAGGATTATTTATGATTTATAAATCCTTATAAACGACAGTTAAACCTTGCTGAATAGCAGGAGTGCCAAAATATAACATAAATAAATTAATTATAAAATAATAAAATAATTTAATGATATATTTCGAGGCAACATTTCAGTGTTATTTAGCTATGTTTAAACTGTACAGTAATTTTATTTTAGATAAGATTTATTTTTCATTTAATACAATAAAATGAATTTCATTTTTAGAATATAACTGAATCTTTAATTGTGATTTATAAGGCGATTTACAAAGCATAAACAATCCTCACTTTAGGCTACAAAACTGGATGAAGTTAACAAAAGCACTTATTAAAATAAGTATTGTATATACTTTATATACTTATTTTTTATACTTTATATACAAGTATAACAATTACTATTCATTCATGTATTTTCCTTCAGCTTAGTGTGTGCTCACACTATGTATAGTTGCCTTGAACCAGGCCGAAGCACTCTTGTCCTCCCTCCCGTCTCCCCTGACGTCCCGCACTCACATTGCATTCGAGCCTGAGCACTCTTACATCATCGATGATGCGCTGTTTAGTTTAGGAAGTGCTCTCAGCACGGAGGAGAATTCTTTAGTTATATTGTTTTAGTCGTTTGGGATGCAGTAACACGCTGTCAAGAATTTCGCCGAACAGATCAGCCACTTTTGATGTTAATAAACAATCATAAACTCCTTGTGCTGCAGGAATAGGAGGTTTGCTAAAGGCGCAGCTGTGGTGCAGTAAGGGGTTTGCGTTCATTGAACAGTAATAGTGGTTAATTTATCCAAATCAAAGTCCCTTGCAAACTGTCATAGATTAAAGACACAAACCCCTCACTGCACAACAGCTGCACCTTTAGCAAACCTCCTAGTACCTGCAGCACGTTGACTTTGATTGTTTATGAGCGTCAAAAGTGGCTGATCTGTTCGGTAAAATATTTGACTGCGTGTCACTGCATATTGAACAACTAAAACGATATAACAATATAAAGAAATCTCCACTGTGCTGAGTGAGAGCACTTGTTAAACTGAACAGTGCGTTATTGATGATGTAAGCATGCTCAGGCTCGAATGCAATGTGAGTGCGGGTCGTCGGGGGAGACAAGCACGCTTCCAGTTTCAAGGCAACTGTGCATAGCATGAGTACGCCCTTGGAAACACCCATACACACATTTACAAACACACTCATACATAACAGCCAATTAAGTTAATCAATTTCCCTATAGCTTATGTCTTTGGACTGTGGGGGAAACCGGAGCACCCGGAGGTCTTCTTGCTGTGAGGCAACAGTGCTAGCCACTGAGCCACTGTGCTGCCCAACTATTACTATATGCCTGAATAATAAGATATATAAATGTTAGTTTAAATAGTTTATTAACCATTTACTTACACATTCTGAATGATTAGAAAAAAATACACCAACTATTCTTAAATTACTGGTTTGTAAATAATGCTATACTAAATTTAGTAATGAAAAATTAATCATTAACAAAATATAAAAACAAAATCATTAAGCACATTATAGATGTGCTTATACGTCAAGATTACAGCATTTGCAGCTGTAGTTATAAACTGTATACTAAGGTCTGTTAATGTAGAGTTAAAGCTTAACAGAACTTTTTGCTAATGCTTAATAAATTAATCAATAGTGTTTAGTTATTATAAAGTATTACCGGTTTGCTTAATTACCTTTAAATCTTCCAAGGATTCTGAAAGTCTTTCTGGTCTGACAGGAATCGAAGGAGTTTAGATGGTATGTTTCTGCTTGGTGCACTTTTTTCTGCTATGGACCTACATTCTGGATAGTTACTCAGCATGCTCCTGTTGTAAATACAACAAACATGTATCAACTTACTTGTCTTATAAAAATGAAATAAACTTAAAAATGTAAAAACATACCTTCATATAAACTCCAGAGTCAGGGCTGCTTCCTTAGGCTACATAATGTTTAGCACATAAGAGACTAAACATGTAGCTCACCACAATTAGGGGACAGCTCAATGATCTTGTTATTGTGACTGTGGACTCTTCTTCTGAAAAAAAGAAAAGAAAAGTGAGTTGTGTGTTGGGTCTGGTACACGTCCACATGGAAAGAACCTATATAAACATATGGTTTAATATAGGTTTTGATTTAGGTTTTTGAAATATGTGACAAATATAAAATTGGCTGTTTTCCTATATTACATGTACATATATGGGTACATATATGCACACCTATATGTTAAATTATTAATATTATTAATAATATTATAAATATTATAATTATTATGTAAAATTATTCAAATACATGTCTGCTACATAATTTAAAAGAAATTAAAAAATATATATTTACTTAATCAAATATTACAAGAAATAATTATAGTGCAAGAACAAAAATAAGGCAAAAAAAAAACAATAAAGGAAAGAAAAAAAATGTAAAAAAATTATAAACCATTTTGTTTTACATTTCTTTCTTTTCCACTATCTTTATACAAGAAAGAATTGACCTTGCAAATGTTTCAGGAAAACGTGTAGACATCATAGCTTTCCATCTCCTCTCACTTATTTGCCATAGTTAAATTCCATAACATGCCAATAACATGTGATACAAAATTCAAGTGGCACATACATAAGTTTTTCACATTTTTTAAGTTAGTTCTTACCCAGAGAGCAAACCTACGTTAAATTAACATTGAATAAATGTTAAAACATCAATCAAACTATCATTGAAACAACGTTAAAAAGTCACCACTGATTTTTAGGCAGTTTTCCACCCTGAAATAATGGTAATTCTATGATAATAAATAGACAAAACTGTCCCAAAATCAGCATTTATTCAACCAAAATTAAATCTTATTTTTTTACAATGAACCCAACATTAAATAAAATGTTAAATCAACCACACTATCATACAATTAATGTTGAAATTTAAAGTAGATTTTTAGCCAGTTTTGCATCCTAAAAATAAAGTTATTACAATGACGCTAAATAGATTAAACGGTCACAAAATCAGCATGAAGGCCTGGCTCACCATCAAGATGCCCACATTGAAATTGTCTCTCTCATCATCAGGTGGCTAAGAGAGAAAAGAAAATAGATTCAGCAGTGGACCAGTTATTTCCTTATCACTTTAAACAGACATTACCAAAATAAAGAACTTGTAACATTTCAAATGATGCAAAAATAAATAATAATAATAAATAACTGCTTGGTTCATTTAACAGATTACAGTAGCAGCTTAAAAACCCAGACAAAACACCCACATCAACCCAGTACTTTTTAGTTTGAATACATGTTAACAAAATTCAAAACTTACTGAAGCAAAATGTGTTCATGTAAACACTTAGTAAAAATATAGGTACAAGTAATTGGTTTGCCAAATAATAAAAATAAAAGCATCAATATCAAACAAAAACCCTGACAATTTTACCTCTTAAACTTGGAAGTTTACTGTCATCCCCTGTATTAGGTACAGATGGTCCAGCACAACTGCCTGAGTTCTGAAAGAGCAAAAACATTCTTGGTAAAATGACAATAGATGCAATGCTAAATATAAATCATTTTTTATTTTAATTTTTTGTATTATTTATAAAAATGCAGTACTGACCAGTCAGCATCAATTTTTACACCAACACACCTACAACAAAAATAACACTCATTCAGTTTGAAACATGCAGCACATAGTCTACTTTTATACTTTACAAACTTTGTGGATAATAAAAAAAAATGAAAACATTTAAAACCCCAGCTGTATTTTATTTCATTTGTCTATATCAATTCAAATTTAGTTTGGATTGAACGTAAGATTTAATATTTTTATTTAGATTGCTGTGAAAATGTACCTGTACCTTGTACTTATAACCAAAATTACAGAACCTGGAAATCAACAAAGCAAAATATCAGTGAACCTTATATGTACAAAACACTTAAAACCAAACAGAAAAAACGCTGAACATTTTACCTCTTAAACTTCAAAGTTTACCGTCATCTCCTGTATAAGGTACAGAGGGTCCAGCACAACTGCCTGAGTTCTGAAAGAGCAAACACATTCTTGGTAAAATTATAATAGATGCAATGCTAAATATAAATCATTGTTTATTTTTTTGGTTAAAAAATGCAGTACTGACCAGTCAGCATCACTTTTTACACCAACACACCTACAACAAAAATAACACTCATTCAGTTTGAAACATGCAGCACGTAGTCTACTTTTAAACTTTAAACTTTGTAAATAACAAAAAAATGAAAACATTTAAAATCCCAGGTGTATTTTATTTCATTTGTCCATATTAATTCAAATTCAGTTTGGATTGAATGTAAGATTTAAGATTTTAATTTAGATTGCTGTGAAAATGTACCTGTACCTTGTACTTATAACTAAAATGACAACATAAACATAAAGCAAATCTTATATCATATATCAGTGAACCTTATATCTACAAAACACTCAAAATCAAACAGAAAAACCCTGAACATTTTACCTCTTAAACTTGAAAGTTTACAGTCATCTCCTGTATAAGGTACAGAGGGTCCAGCACAACTGCCTGAGTTCTGAAAGAGCAAACACATTCTTGGTAAGATGACAATAGATGCAATGCTAAATATAAATCATTATTGTTATGGTTAAAAATGCAGTACTAACCAATCAGCATCAATTTTTACACCAACACACCTACAACAAAAATAACACTCATTCAGTTTGAGACAGTCTACATTTAGACTTCACAAACGTTGTGAATAATAAAAAAATGAAAACATTTAAAATCCCAGGTGTATTTTATTTCATTTGTCCGTATTAATTCAAATTCAGTTTGGATTGAATCTAAGAATTTACCTGTAACATGTACTTATAACCAAAATGAAAGAACCTGAAAGTCAACAAAGCAAAATATCAGTGAACCTTATTTGTGCAAATAAAACTCACTTAAAATCTACATAAAAAGATTTTATTTGCGATAACACCATGTGTAGTTCACTCTATTATCAAGGTTTCATTAAAATAAAACTCCTGATCTCCTAATAGTAAAGAAAGTATTGTTTGCTATAATGAATCGAACTGACAATTAGTTTGAAGAATTTTAAGACTGTGGAAGAACAACTCATCTTTATATCTTCATATTAGCTGCCCTTGAGGTTCTTAAAAGTGAATAAATAAATATCAATGACAGTTCAACTCGACTACAACAAACATTTAATTGTGTGCTTTAAGGTACACGTTGTATTTGAGGCCGAAAACGCATGACAGTGTAAACACTATAAATACGTTTAAATGTCACACACTTACTGTATCACTCTGTTATCTCTGTACACACAAACACGCGTCGCGAAATGCGGAAGTTTTTTTTTCGTTCCATTTGGCGAGCGTTGTTAAATTCCATAACACTCTCATCAGTTCTTGCTTCTTATTTGCGTCTATTACCCCAGTTTGTCACGCGGGATGAATGAAATGTTCATGAGTTAAAGTGAAACTGCCGAACTGCAGTTAAAGTCAGGCATCCTGCTGATTTGATTCAGAAGGGCACTTGTTTGTCAGACGGCTCACCGGTCAGGTATACATCCGCGCTAAAATATCAAAGTATGAAAGTCACCCAGCTCCCAACCCAACGTTGAGAATAGATTAACGGCGATATATATTTTTTTTATCGCGCGATAAGTCTCGCGTTAACGCAGCACGTTAATGCTGATAACGGCCCACCACTAATAAAAACTTTACGAGTGTATATTTCCCCTCATACCGAGTTACAAATGCCTCCAATTCACGCGAGTCTAACTTGTAACTTACTTAAAAACCAGCAAAGCTGTTCCACTGAAACTCGGTCACACAGCCTTAATACGTCGGTCAAACTAAAGCTAACATTTGATAACGTCAGTAAAAATATGAAATTAGTCATTAATATGCAAACAAACACAGACGGTCAGGTGTTACGAGCGTTTAAAACACGTTAACGTTAGTGTTCATTAAAGGTAACGTATATCAACTGCGGTCAAGCCAGCCGCGGTTCGGAAAAACACAGTCAAGCCAGCCGCGCTTTATATTTTGGTGCGCGCGTATTATTATCATTACGGTAATGTCAGCAGCCACACAGAGAGCGCTCCACAGAGCACACATTTCGCCCAGAACAGAGAGATAACAACGAAATATAAGTTTATCCCCCTTTCCTCCCACGTATGCTTTATTAAACAATTTATTAGCTTTTTTTGACTGTTGTTATTTTAAGAAATTGGTTTCTGTGCTTACCTTTAATTTCCTCGAGTCTATCTTTTTGCTTCAAATGATTTTATAGCAATCAAACGGTCAGAATAAATATACGATTTCTAAATACCCAGAAAGCGTTTTTATTTCTCCTAGCCAACTACAGTACATTGCTAATAAGGTTGAATGCAATTTTATACAACGTGCCTAACCTCAGAAAGTGAAAATAATCATGAAGTAGTCCAACATAGCATTGTTTAAGTTACAAATATATGTTGGTTTTATTTAAAGGGGATTTAAAAATATATGCTTCTTTCAGTATATGGGATATGGGGCATTACTACACTTTAGATGAATGTAAAGACCTTATTATTTGTTATAAGTAGAATAGAACAACAATAAGATCGATGCAGGAAGTCAAATACTAAGCATACATCATATGAAGCCTGTTTTACTGCAGCATTTTGGAGAAATGTACCATTAACACACTTTAAAGTGCTATAAAGAAATAAGTAGAAAAAAAACAAAGTTTGGTTCTGATACAGGATGTACATGCATACCTCATGTAAAAGACCTCATTTAAGTTAACAGAAGAAAACTATGGACAGGACATGCAATATTTTATGCATACCTCATAATAACTTACTGCAGCATTTTGGAGAAATGGGCTATTAATGAGCTAAAAAGTCTTTAAAGTGTTATAAATACATTGTTTGGAATAAGTTAAATAAAAGAGTGATCAGGTCTGATACTACATGTCCCATGCTATATGCATATATACAACACATGAATCCTTTTTACTGCAGCAATTTGGAAAAAAAATTGCTCATTTAAAAGATGTAGAAAAAAAAAACAATAGTCAGGTCTTATACAGGACATCCCATACTAAACCTCATTTAAAGACTTGTTACTGCAGCGTCTTGGAGAAATTGGGCATTAACATTACTCAAAGTGTTATGAAGACCCAATTTTCAATAAATAGACAAAAAACAATGATCAGTTCCTGTACAGAACATCACATACAATATGCATACTACATATAAACACTTCTTACTCCAGCAATCTGGAGAAGTGGGACATTAACATAATATAAAGTGTTGTAAAGACCCCATTTCGATTAAATAGAAAGAAACAATGGTCAGTTCTTATTCAGGACATCCCATACTATATGTGTACTTCACATGAAATCTTTTTTACTGCAGCGTTTTAGAGAAACTAGGTATTAACCTATTATAAAGTGATATAAAAACCCCATTTCTAATAAGTAGAAAAAAACAATGGACAGTTCTTATACAGGACATACCATACTATATATGTACTTCACATGAAGCGTTTTTACTGCAGCATTTAAAAAAAAACGGGGTATTAACATAATATAAAATACTATAAAGACCACAGTTTAAATAGGTAGAAAAAATCTATGGTCAGTTCTTATACAGGACATCCATACTATATCTGTACTTCACATAAAACTTTTTTACTGCAGCATTTTGGAGAAATGGGGTATTAAAATAATATAAAGTGCTATAAAGACCTCATTTCAAATAAGTAGACAAAAACAATGGTCAGTTCTAGTACAGGACATCCCATACTATGTGTGTACATTACATGAAACCTTCTTACTGCACTGTTTTGGAGAAATGAGGTATTAACACAACAAAGTGATATAAAAACCCCACTTCAAATAAGTAGAAAAAAACAATGGTCGGTTCTTATACAGGACATCCCATACTATATATGTACTTCACATGAAACCTTTTTACTGCAGCATTTTAAAGAAACGGGTTGTTAACATAGAAAAAAAGTACTATAAAGTCCCCCTTTCAAATAAGTAGAGAAAAACAATGGTCAGATCTTATACACGACACCCTTATCTCTGTGTGTACTTCACATGAAAGCTTTTTACTGCAGCATTTTAAAGACACGGGGGAATTAACATAGTATAAAGTAATATAAGGACCCCATTTTAAATAAGTAGAAATAAACAATGGTCAGTTCTTATACAGGACATCCCGTACTATATGTGTACTTCACAATAAACCTTCTTACTGCACTGTTTTGGAGAAATTGTATATTAATATGATTTAAAGTGTTAAAAGACCCCATTTTTAATAAGTAGAAAAAGACAATGGTCAGTTCTTACATAGGACATCCCATACTATGTACTTGACATGAAACTTTCTTACTGCACTGTTTTGGAGAAATGGGGTATTAACATAATATAAAGTACTATAAAGACCCCATTTCCAATAAGTAGAAAGAAACAATGGTCAGTTCTTATTCAGGACATCCCATACTATATGTGTACTTCACATAAAAACTTTTTACTGCACTGTTTTGGAGAAACGGGGTAATAACCTGATATAAAGTGCTATAAAGACCGCATTTCAAATAAGTAGAAAAAAACAATAGTCAGTTCTTATACAGGACATACCATACTGTATGTGTACTTCACATGAAACCTTTTTACTGCAGCATTTTGGAGAAAGGGGGTATTAACATAATATAAAGTGCTATAAAGACCCCATTTCAAATAAGTAGAAAAAGACAATGGTCAGTTCTTATACAGGACATCCCATACTATATCTGTACTTCACATGAAACCTATTTACTGCAGCGTTTTGGAGAAAGGGGGTATTAACATAATATAAAGTGCTATAAAGACTGCATTTCAAATAAGTAGAAAAAAAACAATGGTCAGTTCTTATACAGGACATACCATACTATATGTGTACTTCACATGAAAACTTTTTACTGCAGCATTTTGGAGAAAGGGGGTATTAACATAATATAAAGTGCTTTAAAGACCCCATTTCAAATAAGTAGAAAAAAACAATGGTCAGTTCTTATACAGGACGTCCCATACTATATCTGTACTTCACATGAAACTTTTTTACTGCAGCATTTTGGAGAAAGGGGGTATTAACATAATATAAAGTGCTTTAAAGACCCCATTTCAAATAAGTAGAAAAAGACAATGGTCAGTTCTTATACATGACATACCATAATATATATGTACTTCACATGAAACCTTTTTACTGCAGCATTTTGGAGAAACGGGGTATTAAGCCAATATAAAGTGCTATAAAGACCCTATTTCAAATAAGTAGAAAAAAACAATGGTCAGTTCTTATACAGAACATACCATACTATATGTGTACTTCACATGAAACCTTTTTACTGCAGCATTTTGGAGAAAGGGGGTATTAACATAATATAAAGTGCTATAAAGACCCCATTTCAAATAAGTAGAAAAAGACAATGGTCAGTTCTTATACAGGACATCCCATACTATATCTGTACTTCACATCAAACCTATTTACTGCAGCGTTTTGGAGAAAGGGGGTATTAACATAATATAAAGTGCTATAAAGACTGCATTTCAAATAAGTAGAAAAAAACAATGGTCAGTTCTTATACAGGACATACCATACTATATGTGTACTTCACATGAAAACTTTTTACTGCAGCATTTTGGAGAAAGGGGGTATTAACATAATATAAAGTGCTATAAAGACCCCATTTCAAATAAGTAGAAAAAGACAATGGTCAGTTCTTATACAGAACATACCATACTATATGTGTACTTCACATGAAACCTTTTTACTGCAGCATTTTGGAGAAAGGGGGTATTAACATAATATAAAGTGCTATAAAGACCCCATTTCAAATAAG